ATTTTTATCTAGTTATCTCAAGGTTTTAATCAAGTGTGCAAAAATGGGTGTGAAAATGCATGATTTATGATTTATCTTAATCAAGTCCACAGGGCCGCAAGGTTTGACAAGTCAAACGGTCTAACCGACTGGTCGAACCGTGACATCATCGTGCTGGAGTCAACAAAAACAAAAAGATTTAAAAATAAATGAAAATTTTAATTTTTAACTGTGATAAGTGATAACTGATCATAATAAAAAATTCCCTGCAACAAATATATCCAAATCGCACACTGCAGAACTGATTTTCAGGTGACATACTGTCATGAGGTCATGTGACTTGCCTAAAATTAGAGAACGTTCTTGCCAAAATTTAAGAAACATATCCAAATGTTTTATTACTTTTCTGGAGAAAAAGGATATAGAGGCAATCACGCATTTTCATTATATTCATCTTTAAAGAATAACTTTCAATATAATTTTTTTTTTTATTATTATTTTCAACATATTTCAAATAGAGCACAAGAAAATGTTTTTACTTCTAATTTGTTGAAATTTGGAACAAGACTACATTTCTGTTTACTACATTCATAAGCATAGTCTATTTCCTTGTTCACTTCTCTTGTCACAAAAACTGTCGACATGTATACACTATTTACAATTTTTTTTTTTTTTTTTTTTTTGGGATAAACCTAATAATTATAGAAAAAAAATGAAAAAATTTCTACCAAACAATCATCTCTTCAATATCAAGTTCCAAATCTATTTCTTTAATATCAAACAATCTCTATGGCTCTATCTCAAACAATTTCATAACAAAAAAAAGTTACAAAGAACAATAACAATAATGAAACACACAAAACATTATAGGAGCTATCGAAAATCAAAGATTAGAAAAAAAGGAGCTATCAAAGCCGAAGTTAAAAGATCAAAGATTCAAAAGTCGCCTAAGGTCTGAAGATTGAAGATTGGTTAAAGATCGGAATCAAAGAACCCAAAGATCAAAGAAGCTGATTACGCTGCTTTGTTGTTTGGTTTTTTGATTTTTCCTTTTCCCGATTTATTTTACTTTTAGGGGCCGTTTGGTTCGGGGTTAAGTGGCATTACTGGGGTAATATCATCTTATATTACTTGATTACCACGTTTGGTTGTCAAGTAATATAAGATACCAGGGAAGCATCAAAATACAATAGTGGTTACTATTGGTAATATAAGAGGTAATCTGATTACCTCCATTTCTTAGGTTTTCTGAGATTATCAGGGTATCTTTTTTTGTTACAATTTTATCCTTAATAAAATTTTGGACAATAATACCCCTACTTTAAAACAAATTTACATTAATATCCTATTTCAATTTTACCCTTGTTTAATTAAAATTTTGGACAATAATGCCCTTATATTTAAAATATTTACAGACCACCACTACCACCAAGCCACCACCCACCAACGCCACCAGCCACCACCGTCGACAGCGGGTCAACACACCGGACCACCGTCGAAAAATTGCCAGAGTCCCTAAAAACACTGGAAATTCTTGTGGAGGTCTGGGAGGCTTCGATATGGCCGTTTTCGGCCATCAATATGGCCAAAAACGGCCATAGCGGAGCCTCTGGTCACCGGTGACGTACTCACGGGGACATCCGCGGTGGTTGCGGGTGGCGGCAGGAGGTGGGGTGGATTCGTCATAAATTAAAGTTTATATAAGCGGGGGTGTTTTAGCTAAATCTGAAATATTGGGGGTTAAAAAATTATTCAAAAATTAATAATAAAAATAATTTTATATTAATATTTAAAAGGGGGACAATTTAGTAATTTAATAAGATACCACCAATTATCCCATAACCAAACATATAATATAACATACTCACCAACTAACCAAACATATTTCAAAGATTCCCAGTAATCTTTCAAGGTAATCTATTTTCAGAATTCAATATTCTCAGAATCTAACATTCCTGAACCAAACGTCCCTTATAATTCTGCCAAATGGGTAGGGCCCATAATTCTAATTCACCAATATAAACGCCCTCCTGTAGTCCATTTTCATCAGTGATCAATCTTTCATTTTCATTCAATCTCTCATCTCTTCTTCATTTTTCTTAGTCATTCAATCTCGCACTCATTTCACTCTGTAAGGCTTTTTGAGTTTGCTTTCAAGTTAAGAGCATAATAGCTCCACCGTTCTACAGCAAGCAACTTACCTTTTCAGATGTCACCAACAAAATAGCTGTTGAAACCAGCCATCTTGAGGATTCCCGCCTTTCCCGCACGACCAACATTTTCAGAATTTAAAATTTTCTGACGAGGAGTACAACACTGAGTGGAACTTCCGTCTAGCTGGCCGGCAGACTGGCCCCCATAAAAGCCAACCATTGGCGGCAATTGGATTAAATTCTTCAAGATGAGGGGCTTCGTGAAGGAAATGTTATTTTGTTCTATAGAGGCAGGCACTAAGCCATGCAGAAGCTTTAAACCATGTGTTATAAGAAACAAAATTTTTATTTTATGATTTTTATTAATGCATTTATACAATGAAAGATATAATACATATAATGTATATATATATATTTAGTGTGATTTTGACACCAACAAACGACGTGAAATACTGAGTTGGCCCAGAAGAGACAGTGGATGAGAGAGTGAGAGTAAAACAATGGAGAACATTTTAAAGTGGTTCGGATACTCAGGAGGCAAATGATACGTCCACTATTTTGTATTACAATAGTAGTCAGTCGCGATCAGAGCTGTACATGATGAGATAATAAATAAAGTAGAGACTGATAGATGATAGAGTAGAGAGATGAGAGTGAGAGAGAGAGATAGAGGAGAGAGAGAGAGAATGCTATTTCTTTAGAGAGATTCTAATCCCCGAATGAGAGAGGAACTCTCAATTTATAGTGGGATGGGTTAAGATTATGATTACTAAATCGTGAGTTGGTGGATTATCGTGCAAATCCTTCTATGTCTCATTGTCCACCTTCTAGAGCGATTTACGCGATTTGATGCAGGGATTAGACACGTGGAATCACTCCAGTTCTGACTGGTCTGACGCAAACCCACTACCCTGACAGGAGCATGCGTTCTGTCATTGTGTGACGTGGTCTGTCTTTGACTAGCTGCGAACTTATCTAAGCTCTGACTTTTTATGCTGATTGGGTTTTGCATCAACCCTATTTTTTCAGGCATAACATAAAATAATATCAGCTGTAAAATATTTCAATCCATTTTCATATATTTACTTTATATTTATTTCATGTTATTTCACTTTAGGTAAATCGGAATAGCATTATGAAAATACTTTTAGACATAATAATTATATAAAAGGATATTCTTATACATTCTACAAATTATACATTAAAACGATTTAAACGACAATTTTGATCAAGACAACTAGGTTCAATGTATAAATATGATAAAATTTTATCTTTTGTTACGGCTTAATTTAAACAAAATAATAACTTTTTTTTTTTTTAATAAATATATAATATATCATTATATTATACATCAATATAAAATTTGTAAAAGAGTAAACGACATGTTCCCACCAAGGTTTATTGAAATCTAGAGTGGTACCCCTGGTTTCATAAATTCCAGATTCTCACCCTTAAATGGATCCCGTTCCCTTTATTTTATCCGTTAAAGGCTAAAATTGGATTTTTTCTCTTCCCTTCCCATTTCTTCTTCATCTCGCCGCCATCTCCCATCTCTCTTTTTTCTCATTCAAAACGGTTGCCATTTCAGGTCCACCGTTTGGATTGGAAACGCGGGAGTTCAACTGGGAGAGAGAAATGAAACTGAGGTTTTGTTGAGAGAAGAAGAAGGAAAAAGCGACAATCCAAATCTGGCCACAGTGTGATGGCTTACGGCGGCCAAATCCAGCGCCTCGGAGTTATTCGGACAAGGGAGAAAAGGGAAGAACAAAGAGAGAGAAGCAAGAAAAGAAGAAAGAGAGGAGAGAGAGAAGAAGAGAGAAGAGAAAGAAGAAGAAGAAGAAGAAAAAAAAGAAAGGGTAGAAGAAAAAGAAGAGGCGGCTGTGGTGGTGGTTAGGGAGGAGTGGGTTCTGAATGGGCTGTGAAGAAGAGAAGAGGAGAGGAGAAAAGAGAAGGTCTAAGGGTAATTTGGTAAAAGATCATATGCCCCTATGTTAGTCACTAACGACATCCATTTAATGGGGAAATTAGAATTTATAAAATAGGTATCAACCGGGATTCACTGGAACCTTGGGGGGGGACATCGTACATGTCATTTACTCTTTGTAAAATAATATCATAAAACGTGTAATACTGTATTGTAGCCTAGCCTAAGCCTCAAAATATAATTTAGATAAAAATTTTGAATTCTCCGACCTTTTTAATTCACGTGCACACAAAACGTTTTCCACGTGCATAAGAACACTGATCAGTGATCATCGGACAGAATCATTTTCCGAGCCATAATCACCAAGTGGCACATCATGTAATTTCAACCAGATCCTTACCTCTTTTGGTAAATTCATTTCAAATTGTTAATGTTCACAGAGCAGATAAGCCTATAAAGTCGTTCATAATCGTGCCTTTGACTTTACCCAAGGGTACTGATTTGTAAATCACAATCTCTCCGATTTCGCTCTAAAATTCTTCAGATTTATTATCTTGTTCTTCGATTCGATTTCTTTTTCGTTCTATTCGATTTAACCTCTATCGGTTGATCCCGCTTTCGTTTCTTATTGTTCTGGGATTTCTATTCTAGGGTTAGGGTTTCGAAATTCTCTTAAAACATTCGATTCGTTTTCGATTTTGTTTGATCTGTGAATCTTAGGGTATATACTAGCTTTTATTTGTCCGTATTTATCTGGGTCAGCCTTCATTTCTTGGATTCTTTGAAAAGTTTGAAACTTTATCGGGGCTTTCGAAGCTTCGAATTTTCGATTGATTTATATTGTGAAAATTGGGATTTTTTCTGTTGGGTTTAATTGAATTTTAATTTGTCCGCTGGTGTTATTAATTGAGTTCTTCAGTGGAAGATTTAGGTGAGAACTACCTCCTTAAGCCCTTGTGTGATTTTTAAATTTATATTAGTTATTGAATTTATTTATATGGTGATATTTGGAATGTTGTTTCTGATTTTGATTCTTTTTGGAATCTCGAAATTTATGTATGTGGATGCTTTAATATATGTTTAGTATCATAATTTATTTTCATTTATACGGTTAGGACCTTTATATTGTTATATGGATAGTACATTGTGGCTTTGTAGATACACTGAAGAACATTTTACGGATATTGTATTGCTGTTGTAAAAGTTGGAAATGGAATTTTTTAAATGTTACGACCTGAGTGCTTAATGGTTCTTTTTGCCATTGCATTATGCTCTGTTGCATTCGAAATATATGTTAGTTAAAAAAGAGAAAAAAAGATATTGCTATAATGCTCTAGGAATTGAGAACATGCTATGGCATTAGTGTGACACGAGGCTTGGCCTTGCCTACCTAGCGATGGAGTGGGATTAGAAATAGTTTTAGGATGCTTCTGTTGTTGGGAGAAAAGAGTTTTTCTATAACTTTTGGCTTTGGTTTTTCATTTTTGACTGCCTCGTGTTGTTGCACTCTATAATAAGATGACTCTATATGATATTAGTTATAGTGAAAGTTAGATGCCTACATCTTTCTAGTTCATATATGTTTGTATGTCCCTTTTTGTCAAGTGCTCTTCTAGTTCATATGTGAAAATCATGACCTTGACATTATACTAAACAGAGGATTAGATGTTTCAATATACTTAACTGAAACTAGATTTCTCCTGCTAATGGTGGATTATTTGAGGCTCTTTGTTATTTATAGTCACTTCATACAGTTTTATATCAAAAGCTTGTTCCAATTTACATTTTATGTGATTTAGTAGTAAGCCTTTTTTTTTGTGTGTGTGTGTGTGTGTGTGGTTCAAGCTATTTTTAGTCCAAATTTAAAATCCAGCTTTGAGCATTTGCTAAGGCTATATATGTCTTTGGATTTGCATTTTTAAATCTCCTGAAGACAAGTTGATTTTTCAGAGAAAAATGATTCACAAAAGACACTATGCTGATGAGGATTCTTTTGAGTTCCCTTGTAAGCACCCAAAAGTGTGTGACTACACCAATCACCTTGCTCCTATCATGGATTTCAATCCTTCCAATGATGCTGGTCTGGAACCTCAAACTTCAGGTAAGTAATTTGTAATTACGTGTATGTAGAATTTGGTTACAATTAAATTGATCTTCTTGTCCATGCAACAGTGTTGAATGTATATTCTTCAATTGTTTTTTTTTTTTTTTTTTTTTTATCGACTAAATTCCAATATGAAGAAGATGGAACCAGCCACAGCTTCAGCAAATGTCAAGATCAAAAGGCATTTGCATTTGATTCTGTTACAGAAGTTTCAAATGGGACTGATGAGGAATTTGAAATAGGTACTTCTGGCTGTATTTCTCAATTTCTGTGGGAAAACAGCAGCATTGCCGAAGCAGATGCTAAGTTTGAGGCAGCATTTCATCTGTCATTTTTTCCAGAATATTTTGCCCCTCAACACCAGCTAAGGGCTTTGCTTCAATCCGATGAGACTTATTCATCTCTTCTTGAAGTTCCTCCTCTGATTCCAGTTTCTATTGGACCTGAGCATCAAGCTGATGTTCCTGAATGGAACCCAAGGGGTTCAAAGAGCTTTGTGGATAATCTGGATGTGTCAGGCCATCAAGTTGAACTTGCACCTTCTCCGGATTTTAGCCTTATTGTTGATGATGGTGATGAGGAGAAGCTGATGGGTACTTGTGTCATTTCAATGCCTGATTATGAAATGTCTGCCAATTATTGCTCAGAAAGATGTGGAATCAGAAATTGTTGTAAATGCATTGATAGGGATTCTATTGATTGTGTCAGACAACATGTTATGGAAGCCAGAGAAAAACTTAGGCAAAACCTTGGGGAAAAAATATTTGAGGAGTTAGGTTTCTGTGAAATGGGAGAGGAGGTCTCAAAGAGATGGACTGAAGACGAAGAGCAAGCTTTCCATGAAGTTGTCTTTTCTAACCCTGCATCAATGGGGAAGAATTTTTGGGACCATCTCTCATTAGTTTTCCCCTCCCGAACAAAGAGGGACCTTGTCAGCTATTATTACAATGTCTTTATCCTACAGAAACGTGCCAATCAAAACAGGTTTGACCCGCAGAATGTTGACAGTGATAATGATGAATGGCAAGTAAGTGAACTTGAAGCTGGTACGGCAGAGGAAGATGAGGACTCTGGTGTTGAATCTCCGACCAATCAAGATGCTCCCGCTTGTCAGGAGGATCATGCAAAGGATTGCCAAGATGACATTGAGGATGAGTATGAGCAAGATTATTCTAAGAATGGTGCTCAGGTTGTCTCAACTGTTGCAAGTGATGAAGATGAAGGAGGTGTGGATGATATATCTGTACAACAGGTTAAGAACTCCTTTGGTGACTCTGGTGGCAACACCGACTTACATTTTTTGAGTAAAATTCAAAGCAGTTACAGGGAGGATGATGATGTACAAGATGATTCATGCACATCATATGAATTTTAGCAAATTGAAAGCTGTGATCCACTTAATACAGGGACTGATCAAAAGCAGTCTAATCAAGATTGATGCACATGCTGTATGTATTAAATGTCGTTGGGTTAATTGAGCATGAATAGGTTATGTTTTGAATCCTTGCAATAGTAAAGCTTGGATACTTATAGAAGAGGGGAAGAGTTGATTTTGTTAATGAGTGTTCATGTCTGATCTCCTAAATTATATTTGGCCATGGTTGGCATAAAATATTGGTGCTGGAAAGCCTTTGAGGGATAATTGGGGTGCAACTCCCAGAAGATCCATAATTCTGACAATAAGGAGGAGTTTGCATTTGTGTCTCAAAAGGGATGCTCATGGAATCTTCCCTTAAATCTGCTGGTTGCCACTGTTATCAGCAAGACAAAATCCTGATCTTTTAGTTATTGGGATCAGTCTCTTGAGAAATAGTATATTTATATTGAGGACTCCAGAGTCAAGATTTTGATGGGAGTCATATAAGTTGAAAGATTTTCATTTTTTATTGTTAGCTTTATTCTTTGCCCTTATTTGTTATTTTTTTTCTGTAGCAGTTCTGGCAAGAATGGCCTTGCTATCAATGTAACACTTAAATTCATGAGGCAATAAAATTAGTTGCTCCATCTTGTCGCTTGTCCCTACTGTCTCAGTTCCTAATTCTGCATGTATAGATTTTTAAATCGCTCACAGAATTACTGTTACCAAGTATAAAGTTTGGCAGAAAACCATTCATAAGCCACTGTGCTGAAGTGATTATGTTGTTGTAGTCATTTAACAGGATTGCCAACTATTTATAAGGTTAGATTACTAGATTATTTGGTCTAATTAAATTCTAAGTAAACAAAATTTCTTTCTCTCTCATCTAATCACGTAAGGTACTTTTTGTCAGTGATTTAACTCACATCATCTGATATTAGTGAGAGATATTTAGTAGTTTAATAGAGACTTTTGAGTGTATTACTCAAGAGGCTATAAGTTCGAGTCCCTTTTCGGTTGTTATGATGGTCATTGAAACTTTTATCTGGCTGACGGTTCTAGGGTCTTAGGGTCTGCTTGGGAGTTTTTTTTCACTCGTTTTGGGGGGTTTTTAATTAGACTGGTTTTGAAGTGTTCTAAAACCATTATTTGCCAGATTTTTTCAGGATTGGTTTTGACTGGTTTAAAAATCATTTAAAACCAATGTAGTGTATTTTTTAGGGGTTTATAAAACAGCCCAAATCAGGGTGTTTTGACTGGTTTAGAAATTTTATCCCCAAAAAATCTCCTTTGAATCTCTTTCAGAGTTTGCTGTTTTTGGATATGAATTGGGTTATTCAATGGAAAACCCGAACTCATTGGTAATGTGGAAAGCTCAATTTGGCTTCTTTTGCATATATTTTCAGCAAATCTAGTTGTTTGAGTGGAAGTCAAATTACCAAGTATGCTAATAGTGCCAGCATAACAAATGTCATCAACAAAATTACATATTTTAGTGAGAACATACAAATAAATTAATAATATACAATGAAGAACTTACAAATAAATTAAACTTGGAAGGAACTTTGATACTAAGTATTGGTAATTGAAAAAAAAAAAAAAAAAAACTCCCAAGTACCGGTTAAAGTTGGGGTATTTTCATGGGCATAGATGTAAATTTATCATTTTTAAAAACTGTCAGAACCGTTGGAAAATAAACTCCCAAAGCACAAGTTTGGTGTTTTAAAAACCGCTATTAAAAACCCCTCAAAACCACTACAGTGATTTACCCTCAAAACCGCTATGATGGTTTACCCTCATAACCGCTATCATAAAACTCCCAAGCAAACCCTTAAGAGATTAGCTGAGATGCATATAAATTGTTTCGGATATCTCCCGTCATCAAAAAAATAAATAAATAAAAACCCTAAATGGACTAGATATGATAAAGATTTCATCCTACTAATTTGAGTAATCGCCAAGCATGCATAAGTTGCTTGCTGAAGCATCGATCCATCATTTGTCTGCACAAAGAAACAAACCCACACACCCTTGAAAATGCACCTTTCTTCAACCCCATTGTCTTTAACTTCTAGTAAAGCTGATTACCAATGCACAACCTGACAAGAATGGTCAAAACTTAATTTCCGTTTCGCCTCCCTTCACATCAACGAAATGGAGTTTGTCCTGTTTAAAGTTGACAACTTTAGTAACATTCTAGCTTAAGTTAATAGATGTTCATGAACCCAATGATGAAGCTCATATACAAAGTTGGGTCCAATGAGTGAGTACCCCATATTATAATAATCCGAACTCAACTAAGTATAAATTGTCTGTTTTGCATCTAGTTTTTATTAGAATCGGTTTTAGGTTTTACACAAACTTCATTCATTTAAAATGCGTTCAATCAGTTAAGTTAAGGAGTCGGTAACTTATAAACTCACTCATATTCTTTTATATTATTTGAATAAAGGCTCTCAAAATTGGTTCATTTCATACTCCCAAATCCAGCTTGATCCTGAATATAAGTGTTGAATTTCTAGATCTGATTAATGTTGACCAGCCTGTTAAAAAACATTAAGTTAATTACAACCTCCTATTTCATTAAAATATAACAACTCCCATCTCAAATCTTGTAATAGGATAATATTAATATATTAATGCATACATCTCCTTTCACATAAGGATTTCAAACCTTTTAGCTTAAAAGAATTATAATTTATCTCAATTCTCTTGATGTTATTTACCTATAATCATTTTCAGATGTTCAAGTTCGATATTTTTAACATACAAGACTCTTGTTATCATAATTTTTAAAATTAAATGTCAATAATAATTTGTTTACCGACGTCATCCAAAAAGATTTTTATTATTTTTAAAAATCTATGTTATAAAAAGATACGAATATTTGCATAAAAAACGAAGGCGAATTATATGTACTAAAAACAAAATTAGAAAATTAGCTTTTTCTCTAATAAAGATGAAAGTATGGTTCAATGAACACTTACACACAAGGGTACTTTTGGTTGCTTTCTTTTGATATCCAACAATGTCTTAAACTTTTCATGTATAAAGCCATTGGATTTAAGTGTATGATTTTGACATGAAATACAAACGAAAAATTAAAAATAATAATTAAATCATATAACCCTAGTTTTATTTTATATAAAATCTCGAAGTAATTATATTTTTAAAGGGTTGTATCTCCCTTAAACCCATTCAAAAAGATCACAAACACAAAAACACATAAAAAAATGATCACTAAATAAGACCTGGACGATTAAAGATAACATAATTGTGTATAAAGACTACAATACCCTTCAACGTAAATATTATAACACATTGAAAGACAATATTATCGTGAAATTAATATTAAAAAAAAAAAAACCCATAATATAAACATGAATTTGAGTTGGTTAAAGGTCTAACTCAATTTGGTTTGATTATTAAACTATGATCAAGATTTCCACAAGTAACATATATTAATGTAACAATCCACTTGTCCTTTGATAAAATGATTAGTTAAATATAAAATGAATAAAGCAACCCCCGTCTGGCCCGTCTAGATAAATCATGAACAATAATACTAATTTACAACAATGAGAGAATCGACATTGAATGTGGGTTTGACAGTGCTTTGGTTCGTCTTACCGTGAGTACCCATGTGTGGTAATTCTACCAACTTTAACAAAAGCTTGTATAAATAAAGACGTTGTTTATTTACCAAAAATTATATTAATTTGACATAATAAAAATTCAAAAAATAGTCTTAAAAAAAAAAAAAATTAAATCCAAGGCTAGCGAGGTTCACAAATATATATACTTGAAGAGAGTTGAAGCTTAGAGTCCATTTCTTCAAGAGCTGTTTGCTTCGCATGCAAGTTTCTGTTTGTTCTTCAAACTTTAGTATCAACTTTAAGCAAGGGATTTGACAGACAGAGAGGCAGAGAGAATCACAAATTTTGCATTGTTTTCTGGAGTTTTTAGGTTGCAAAAATCTTGCTCTTTTCTCTTTCCCATTTTGTTTTTCGTTTAATGAATGCAAAAAGACCAAGATTTTGCATGAACCTAGGGGGTTTTTTTGATGTGGGTTTTCTTTTTTTATTTGTTTGGTAAAGGGTTTCTTTTGGGCTATGGATTCAACTCATGAAGAGGTAAAACACAAGAAAAGCAAAGTGGGCTGTGAAGATAATGATCACATTGGTTATGGCTTGAGAGAAAACCCCAAGAAATCTCGGAAATTTCAAGGTTTTAAAGAAGTTGTTACTTCTGCTTCTGCTTCTGCTTCTGCTTCTGCTTCTGCTGTTTCTGCTTCTTCAATGGAAGAAGCCAAGTGTAAAGTGTGTGGCAAAGGGTTTGAGTCAATGAAAGCGCTTTATGGTCACATGAGGCATCACTCTGGGAGTAGCAGGACAAGAATTCAGTGCAAAGAATGTGAAAAATCGTTTCTTTCATTGAAATCTCTGACCAATCATATGAGGGTTCACGCTCAGAAGTTGAGTGTTCATACTTCTCAGTCAGAGACTACTAGTTCAAGGCGGGATCTTGTTGTGGAAAGCTTATATTTGAAGAAAAAGAGATCAAAGAGAATTAAGAGGTACAAATCTATTAATGCAAGTTGTTCGATTTCTAGCTTGAATGAATCTTTGCCATCTTTTAGTGAAACTGATGATCAAGAAGTAGAACAAGTGGCTGTTTGTTTGATGATGTTATCTAAGGGAGTTCATAATTGGGGTGAATTACATTCGTTTAGTGAGTTTTCAGATGATGATGATCAAGCTGTGAGTTTTGATGTAAAGTCATTGAATCAGAAGAAGAGAAATTTGACAAATGATGGCGACGAGTCTTTGGAGATGAAGAAGCCTAGAGAGGAGAAGTTAGATGCTTGTGCTTCAGATTCTTTGGCTGTTTTGTATGAGCAGATTGAAAAGAACGATGATGGATTGGAAGTTTGCGTGGAGAGGTTATACAAGGGTAGTGAATTTGAGATGCCTAAATTGGATACCAAATCTGAATTTGTATCATATGATACTGAGATTGAAAAGGGAGTTGTGTTTGAACTGAAATTCGGGTCAAGTGAAGTAGAATCTTGCGAGGATTCAATGGAAGAAGTTGGATTGGGAATCATGAAATCAAGTTCTTCAAGCAAGAAAGTCAGTTTTGATGCTTGTGATTCTGAATTTGGGTTTGATTCGTGTAACAAGGTAAAGTGCAGTAGTCCAGAGTCTGAAATGGTGGATGATTCTGGTGAGAAATTCAGAATCGAGTGTAAAACCTGCAACCAAATGTTCCATTCTCGCAAAGCGCTTGGAGGCCACCAAAGGAAGCATAGCACCAGAAAAGTCTGTAAAGCACAGAAGATTGAAAGCTGGGAAGAAGAGAACCAGACTGGCGCGCCTAAAACTGAAGCTGACTGTCAGCTGGTGAAGCTTGAATGTATAGAGAATCTAATGGAAGGCAAAACCAGTGGACTAGCTGTTAAGGAGCACAAATGCCCCATATGCTTTAAGGTGTTCATAACAGGGCAAGCATTGGGTGGCCATAAGAGGGCTCACATTCAGAAGAACTCTGAAACTAGGCCACAAGAGATTGCAATGAGCCAAGACCATTCTACCATCTCTGAGGCACTGGATATTAATATCCCAATAATGGTTGATCAACAAGAAAATGGTGATGTTGGGTTCAAGCAATGGTGGGTTTCTGAGCCACTAGTGGCCAACTAAGAAAGTGATGCCATATGTAGTTTCTGCAGGGTTCGAATTGTGTACAGAGACACAATAAAGAAGATTTGTTACTTTGTTCGAAGTATAGAGATTAGAAGTGACAATTACTGACCCAAGTCTAGTATTTTCTTTTGCCTTTTGAACTGATGAGTTAGTGTCTCCATTGTTTTGAACTAGTAAAGCTCATTAGTAATTTTTTTTTTTTCTCTTTGGATTCTTGATACTGTAATTGGAAATTGTTGTCCTTTTACAAAATATATAGAAACTAGAAAAGGGATGGATGATAAGCAGATACATCATTGATCTTTGATTGAGTTCTCAAATTTTTCCCCTTTATTTATTTTTTTTTTTTTTTCGCTTTCTGAGTTCGTTGATCCACCCTCATTAACTTCTAAAAGAGCTTGAAGAATACTGAACTGAATCAATTTGGCTCAAGGAAGCTTTCAATAAAATGAAACAACCAACCAAATCAGGAAACATTACTTTCAGAGTGGTGATAAATATGCAGACCCCTCACTTTGGCTACCCAAATTGATTAGTGTGTCTAAACAAACCTCTTTAAGGTTTTGCTGTTGAAACATGCAAATACAAGAAGCAAAGGCTGTGACCATTAGTTGTATGGTGCAACCACTGATTAGCATCAAAAGTAGACTCATAACCAATATGGGTTATACTGGCAATTAAAAACTTTAATAAGACTTTATTCAATACGTAATGCTATACATTCAAAGTTTTTATCTAGACAAAAAGGGCGATAAAACATTCGAGTCCATATACCAAGCTGAGCCATGAACCTGAATCGATCCAAGTTGCTCTATATATCTAATCTTTAATTGCAAGGTTAACAGGACTCGGAATGCTTATTCTTTTATTACCGTGTTATAAGATTTATTCAAGATACATTTATTCACCACCGGCTTTCCCCTAAAGAGTTCATTTACACTGTAAACATATCAACAGGATGCCATGCTCATCACAAGCTTGTAGCCAGACCAACTCCCTACTTGGGATGCAGGCATTCTCTGAATTATGGCAATTCGATAGGTTCAATATTCCATATGTCTCGAGCATATTCATGAATTGTTCTGTCACTACTGAACTTGTACGAACCCGCTGTATTCAGGATTGACATTCGTGTCCATAGCTGTAAAATCAGTTACAAAATGTCAGAAATGGGGTTAGTGGTAGCTTATGCGAGAAAATGCTGAGAGATGTATAAGAAAAATAGGGCACTATGTAGACAGTGTAGAGTTAGAAAACACTTATCATGACTCTGAACTTGCAAAATAAGATAACAGTTTCTGTATAGTAGCCAACAAGTTGAATGGAAAAGCTCTATCCAGTGAACAATAATGCAATAATGAACCAATGCCAGGTAGATATGTGAAAAATGCATACGTATCGCTCACCTTTTGGTCTCGATATGCTTCATCAACCTTCTCTTGGCACTCTAAGTAACTAGGGAAGTCTTGGCCCACAAGGAAATAATCTGCACGACCATAACCTTCTTTTCCTTCCAATGACCCCATCAGTTCATTATAGTTATTAGAACCGAAAACACCACTTCTAACGAATTCCTTCACTTCTTCAAAACGTGGATCTGGAACAAACTGCATTAAGAGACCATCTAAATTAACATGCAACGAGGGTGCCTTCAAAATATTTCTTACACTGAAGAAGCAGAATTTTATGTACTTCTGCCATGACATTTTTCATTTTACTACCTGCTGGTCAGACTCATAGAAACAATATTACATGGCTAAAACCTCACAGGTTCATTAACAATAGATTAAAAGGAAAGTAATTAATATTAGTAATAAATTGGTTAACAGTGCATACCTTGCCTTCAGTTCTCTCTTTTCTCAACCCTGCTATCTCGTGAGCTTTAGCACCAAAGAGGAAAAAGTTTTCTTCTCCAACTTCTTCCCTTATTTCAACATTGGCACCATCCAAGGTCCCAATCAAAATGCAACCATTCATCGCAAACTTCATGTTACTGGTACCACTAGCCTCCATCCCAGCCGTACTTCAGAGAGCAAAAAGAAGAAGATGAGAGAATGCAGGGCAGTCAAAAAATGCCTAAAGGTTTTGAATAATTTGTTCTCACTACATGAACGTAATCTTCAATCATTTTCATGAAATAAATTCCCTTGTGCGTCAGCCATGCAGACATGTTGTCATATCAAATGAACTTGAGCTGTTGGAAGAATTTGGATTGGTCGAGTTATAAACTCATACACAAATTGTAAGACAAAAATAATTAAACCACCAATTCCCATGCTTTGTCCTTTGGCTTTAACTAGTGATGAAGGTTGAGAACGGGAAGCAGGTTAGAAGCTCTGCCAAACATTACCATGTTCTAAAAACTAAAAATGCCTATTTACAAAAGCAAAATTCATGATGCTAACGCATACACTGGATTCATCTGGACTTCAGCATAAGCAAGGGCCACTATAAAGCTAAAGCTCAAACTAAACTTTAGGGCTCAAATTTGAAAAGAATGTGGACAGCTCCCGACTAAATCATGCATAAAAACTGCATCTTCATCACCATATGCTGCCTATAATAACTACATGTCCAAGAAGCTAAGCAAAACAAGAAAATCAAAATACCTGATATGCTGTGAGAGCTCACTAGCAGGGATAAGCAATTCAGCCACACTGACATTGTAATCAGGGACAAAAATAACCTAAAATAGAACAGATAATAATTAGAGATACAATGAACTAACAGCAAAAGAAACAATTTACACTTGTAGATAAATCTAATTAAAGATTTTAAAGTTTAATATTTTGAAGCCAAGTTAAATAAAAACAAATCAGTAATGTCACCCTTTCATATTCCAACAAACAATTTTAGAAGGCAACTCGCAAATGTATGCCTTATCTCACCTCTCAACTCTTTAAGAATCCCTAAGAGCAATAGGTACTCTGCTGATTGCACAAGTAAAAATGCACATAGATAACTTAGCAAATAAACGGCCATATCAACACTCTGATATACTTTTCCTACAGCCCAACATCTCCCCAATCTCCACTAAGCAAAAGTATTTCTTAATATCAAAAGCCAAGGCATGAAGCCTGTTTTCTTTTTCATTTTGATTTACTTTGGTCAAATTACTACATATTTATTGACAAAGCCATACCTTCAGCAAATCACCTATTTCAGCATCATGATTAACAGTAGCCCCAACATCAGTGATAAATTTCACAATTCTCTTGGCTTGCACATAAGTAGCAAAAGCTTTTCCCCCAAATATACACACTCGTGGAACAAACTTGGCTTTCCTTTCTGCATCACTCATTTCTTTCATCTTTTTGTAACGGTAAACAATTCCCAAGATATTCATCAGTTGTCGCTTATATTCATGGATGCGCTTCACCTGAAAATAATTGATGCAATCTAATTTTTATAAAATATATAGAGAAAGGGGATAATGGTTTAAGAACTAGCAGGAAGAGGATAAGAAATTATTTTTTCAGTCAAGTGTAAAGCATTCTGCAATTCTGCAAATGACAAATACACAAGTGGCTTAAAGTTGACAGACTTATATCCTTAATCATACACATGTCTGAGTAAATTGGTACAAGTCTTCCTTATAGATGACATAATAAATAGCATCACAGCAATCCAGTTCAAAGGAGATTATAAAGCTTGTCCATCGTAAGCTAATAAAAATTCAATAGATTTCTTAATCATGATCGTTATGATCCATCTATGCATTATAAGCTATATTTAGGGGCAGTCTAAAGTGTCAAATATTATTAACTTTCTCAGTTTTATCTAAGAGTTTTGCTGTTATTTCATCTAAGATAAATATATTCTACATTATATCATAGACATATAAGGTAAAAGACTTCAATAGCGAGGAAATAACCTGGATGTCAAACATTGCATCAGGGCTGACCAAATAGCCTGTTTTTTCTTTAATCAGTGACACAACTTTCATTTTGTTGTTCCTTTTTGCCAACCTGAACTGCTTTTGGAGATCCTCATTATCTGCAAACTATAAATGAACAAAACTGCTTTAATTAGGAAATATAGAGGTGACTGCATACAATAATTTAAAATGCATGCATACATGCCACAAGGAAATAAACAGTAGCCTCAAGAAATCTCAAACTCTGAGCTATGCTCCAGATTAAAAATTCAAAATTAAACATTATAGTAGCAACCAATTAAGCGGGAAAAACTAAAGCAGGCTTCTAACCAATTAGTAATTTCTAAAGTACATGATGTAAGTATGAACTGGGCTCACATGGTGAGATGGGTGCTTAAGAAGGCAATTAAAATTAAAAGAGGAAAAAAAAAAAAAATTCTGTTCTCAAGATATTTAAGAGAGATCTATTGTAAATTCACTTCCAATAACATGCAATCCACCACTTAAGATGATTTTACAAATAAGGATATGGATATGGTTGATTACCTTTCTTAACTCGGCCAGCTTCTCAGTATTTGTGACCCAGTCCTCTGTGCCAATCCACTTGCTGATAATTTTACTTAAATCTGGATTGCAGAAAAGCATCCACCTTCTTGGTGTAACCCCGTTTGTTTTATTTTGAAATTTATCAGGCCACAACTACCAAAGGTGTAGCATAGAGTTCAATTAGCATTTTTTGAGGTAAGAATACAAGTGGACAGGAAAACTTTTAGTTCTATTATTATTAAGTAGGGGGAATATTATAAGTGTTTACCTTATAAAACTCATTAAATACTTCATTTTTTACTATTTCACTATGTATCGAAGCCACTCCATTTACTGCATGACCGGCCACAATACAGAGGTTAGCCATACGAACCAGCTTTTGTGGTTCTGGTACCACTTTTGCCTCCTTTTTTTCCTCTGCTGCTGTACTAATTTCTTTTTCAGCCTCGGGTTCTTCATCAGCTGGTTCGGGTTCTTCATCAGCTGGTTCGGGTTCTTCATCAGCTGGTTTGGGTTCTTCATCAGCTGGTTCGGGTTCTTCATCAGCTGGTTTGGGTTCTTCATCAGCTGGTTCGAGTTCTTCATCAGCTACTTCAACTTCTTCTTCAGAGTTTTTAACTTTATCACTGGGATCGACAACAGCACTTTTCTTGGGTTTAACAAGTAAATCAGCAAAGGGGGCAGGCAAATCAAAGTTTTCTAGAATTCTCATCTCCTTCAGTTTTTTATCCAGTAAATCAACATCTGCTGTGCCATATTCTGAAACTATGGCATGAATCAGCTGTAAAACATGAAATGGCAAAAATAAGAGCTAAGATTAATACACCTAAGAAAGAAAGTAGTGATTGATCTATATATTCCACAATTACCTCTTCATCAATCATTTCTATGATCTCCACATGTCGAGGTAACAGTTTTTGCATAAGTTCTAAACTCCATTTCTCCAATGCCTCAGGTAGAACAGTATGGTTTGTGTATGCCACAGTTCTAAGACAAAAAATTGCAGAATGTTAGGGATATAAGCTATTGAATAAACATATAACTTCACGGGTCTACTAGATACATTGGCATACTTGAAAAAAGAAAAAAAAACAGCGATTATATTATGAGTTAGGCTGGCTGCAACATAAAAATATAACAAACCCCAAAAGAAACAAGTTAATAATAAGCAAAGTGCAAATGGCCAATGGTGGAAAAGGCACAACCAGTTGGAATCGTACCAAAAAAGAATAAACCATATAAAGACATAAGAAACATAGGACCATAATCACTAGACTTCGAGTAAACTTGTATAGCCTTGATGAAGAATGTGGTGGCATCTATCAATTTTTATTAATCCAAAGGAATAAACAGACAAGAAAAAATCAAAGAGTAACAATTTGGTGTTTTTTGGCCACTCAGGCATAATCCAATCGTCCAGTGTATTTCTGAATTCCAGAACAGAAATTAAAAACAACAAACAGAGTAAAATGACATTAATGCATAGTGTTGAACTACCGTAGTAGGAAGTACCTCTGTGTGATATTCCAGGCCTCTTTCCAGCTTAAACCTTTCACATCTACCAAAATTCTCATCAGCTCCGGAATGCAGAGAGTTGGGTGCGTATCATTCATTTGAACGGCAACCTTCTCAGGAAATTCTTCCCACCGTACATTTGTTCCAGATCTTCTCTCAAATTGTGCAATGATATCTTGGAGAGAAGCAGAGCACAAGGTGTATTGTTGCTTCAAACGAAGGATCTTGCCCTCAACAGATTCATCCCCAGGGTAGAGTATATAGCAGATCTAAGCAAAAATATGACATTATAAAGATGCTGGGTTTTCCACTTTACTACAATATTGAAGATCAGCAAAATGAAACACGTAGGAAACATTTAAATACAAGCATAGCATGTGACTGGAATCACAAACAGAGGTAGACAGAGAACAGGATAAAAGCCCAGCATGGTGATCGAACTCAGTCTCTACGCATAGACTACCCAACTTCAATTTTTTTTTTCCTTTTTTTTTTTTTTTTGAGACTTCAGTATTTTGAAACTCTGGTGTCTGCAAGCCCTAACAACAACTTGGCTGACTTAAGTTAAAAGAGAGGTGCAGACAACATAATCCTGATTAATTTTCAAAACATGCAGAAAATAGCCACAAACATTAAGAGAATATATAAATGATCACAAAAATGCACCAAACCTTTTCAGCATTAGATAGGGCTTCAGCTGCTTTGGTATGGTCTCCAGAGTTAAAAGCATATAAATCAAAATCTTCAGAAGGAGCTTTAGTTGACCAAAGTCTTAGGTTGATCGTGGTTTTAGTTTTATACCCTGGTATTGGGACATCATATGCAACAGCCTGTATATCTTCTCCTCCTATCCAGTTACTTTTTCCATCTGATCCTGAAACAACCTTGCCGTAAAATTTTATGGGATATGAGACATCATTTCTCACCATTTCCCATGGGTTGCCCAGCTACAAGAAGAAACCACAATCAAATCAAACATGAAGTAACTGGAACAGAAAGAGACATTGCCACTGAAATTTCAATGATATCATAGATGCCATATACATATACCAGTAAAAAAATGAACCAGTTGAATTTGAACGGAAAGCAAGGATACCTCAAGCCAATTTTCAGCAACTTCTTCTTGACCATCCTTTGTAATCCTCTGTTTGAACAACCCGTACTTATATCTAAGTCCATAACCCCATGCTGGGTAATTTAGTGTTGCCAAAGAGTCCAGAAAACAGGAGGCAAGTCGCCCAAGACCCCCATTACCAAGTGCAGCATCAGGCTCCTATCATTAATTAACCAAAGAAACTTAGCTTCTAGAAAAAACATGAGAGAGAAAACCTCACACAAACAAATTAACTGTTATCCTAAAGGAGTACTAGTAGGGAAAGAGGAGGACACTAGTCTCGACTTATAGCAGTCGTAGATAGCAGAGCTTCAAATTGCACAGTGTAAAGGTCTCAGGAAGCCAACAAAATGAATGGTTGATACTGTTCTTGCTCAACCAACCATAAAATCGTTTTTAAAGTCCAATTTATAAGTTACTTGGTTGTTGAAAATAAATTGTCATAAAAGTGGAAATGTTGACCACGATGAAGTTCTGTCAATGTTCATACTGAAGGAAAAATGAGTAAAATAACCTCACCTGGCTAACTACATTCTCTAGATTGTGTCCAAGGTTGTTCAAGGCCTCTGCATAAGCACCAGTAAGCCCTAAGTTTCCAATTGCATTCAACAGCGCCCTACCCTACAAAAGTGGAAATAATGAAACATAATATAACACTGTTGTAGAAACTAAAGTGAAAATTGTCAGAGTCAAAACAAGAGATCAAGACGAACCTGTAAAAACTCCATTGATAAATAATATGCCTGTTTCACGTTCAACTTCTCATAATACTCATATGTCTCATTCCAGTTTATAATAAGATTATCACGAACGCTTTGTGCAGTGGCAAAGTAAGCCTTTGGAAGCTCAAATTTATCTGGAGAAAACAATGGGGTGAACTCCGCATGATACTTGATACTCGAGGCAATAGAGGCAGCATCTGGAGAATCTGGATTATAGCCGCTAGTTGCTTCAAACAGAAACACAATTAGAAAAATGTAAGCATGAGTACTACATAATAAGACCACCTCTTCAGTGTCACCCCTTCATCAAGCCATGCAAACTCCAAAGAGTACACTAATGTCACAATATAACTTGTTAAGCAAGGAACCAATTTCAACAACTAATGTTCACCAGTTAGCAGCTTAGCATGTCAAAAAGCCAGCTTTATTTGATGAACATCAAACCATTTGAGAAGCCCTTCCAGAAAGCTTAAACAGAACTAAATAGCCAACCTAATCAATTTAAAAATAACCATTTGATGAAAATACCTCCATGTCAGCATTAAAAAAGGATCCAAACCCAACAAACAACGTTCACCATTCAGCAGCATCAACACAACAAAAAGCCAGCTTAATCAGATGATGAATAGCTCACACTCACTCATTCATCATCAAAAGCACAACCTTTTGATACACATTTCGCTTACTGATCCATCAGATGCAGCGTCTCAATCCTTTTTCAACACTGACACGGCAAACAATCCAAAAACAATCAAAACACACACACACACACACACCTTCTTTAACACCAGACTCCTTCAATTTAGCATTGGGCTCGCTGGACACATTCTTCACCGAAAACGACCTCGCCACTCGCCGTGACCGCAGATTCAACAACCGCCTCGAGTTCCCGCTGCTCGCACCAAAGCTGATGAACCTAGACAAAGAACCGTACTGCACAAACGACCCCGGCGACGAAGACGGACACGACTTTGCAGAGAATTGCGAAAATGCCATTCTCTTATTCAGATCAAGTTTACTGAGTGGGAGAGAGTGTGAATTTGGTTATCTTTTTCACGGAGTTCTTGATCTCGATTTTTGAAAAGCTGCTGCCGTTTGAGCTTCGTTTTATAAGTGAGAGGAACGCAAGTTCAAACGAGAGTGAGAGAGAGGTGCGACGTGTCGGTTTGTGCGTAAGAGAGGAAGAGGTTTGTTTAGTAGATCTTATTATTTTAAGTTTAGATTTTTATGGGTATGGGTAAACGACAACCCGGACAGAGAGAGTGCTTAGAGGGAAAGTTGTTTGCCACGTGGCAGACATGTCATTGGCTATATGGCCCACAAATCATTCATCCATTTGAAAAAGTTAAATCAAAATCGTGGTGTCATCACCTCAACGCGCGTGGCCTCCACCTACGATGTAGAAAAATTCAAATATTAAATAAATATTTAGATAATGAGAATGCTAAAATTTTCTTTACCGTTCATTGTTTTTCACTCTACCGTTCTATTTTTGACACGTGTACAACTCAAATCAAAGTTATAAGTCAATATCATAATAAAATATGATCCTATTGTTTTAATCATGTAATTGTTTATCAATTTCGAAAATTATAACAAGAAAAGTCAAGAAAGAACAGGATTAACGATGGCAATATATAATTATCATGGCAAATACAAAATAAAAACTCTACCGTTCTCTTTTTGACACGTGTATATAACTCAAATCATATGTATTTATATAATAATTTTGATTAGTGACACATATTCTTGGGTAACCGTAGGTTTTATATCATGGCTTAAAAGAAATTGAGCAATCCCATGAAAAAAATGAGCCGATACAAATATCCTCCAGTTATTTAGTGATGGCAATGGGCCGAGTCGGGATTAGATACCCCTTGGCCCAGGCCCAAGTCCGACCTCATAACAAAGGTCTAAGTCCAGCCTGAGCCCATCACGGGTATGACAAGTAAAACCCAAGCCCAGTCTGACGGGCTTTTGTAACCTCAGGCCCGACTCAAGCTTGCCTATTTTTATAATATGAATTTTTAAATTTAAATTTTTTATTTTTTACTCTAGAAACAATTTTTAAATATTAACTTTTTTTTAATACTCAACAAATATATAAATAACTTTTCACAAAGTGCATCCATCCATCCATGTAGGGTTTGGGAAAAATGAGTATATATATGTAGGATAATCTTGTAATTAAATATATAGTATAAGGGTAATTTAGTATAATTAATATTAAAATTATTGGGCCGGGTCGGGCCTGAAGACATACCCAGGCCCAGCCCGTGTCGGGCCCTAAAATCAAGCTCAGGCCTAAGCCCAAGCCCATAAACATCGGGTAAAGCCCGACCTTTTCGGGACGGGCCGAACCCCTGAAAATATCGGGCCCATTGCCATCTCTACCAATTATGATATATTTGTCTTTCTCATGTAATTGCTTATTAATTTCAAAGGATTAACAATGGCATAGATATATAAATTCTCAAGACATAAGCATAAATATAATAATTATGATTACGTGATACGTATTCTTGGTAACAATATGTTCTATGTCATAGCTTAAAGAAAATGAGTTAGAGGATGTCGATAAAAAAAATCTTCAGGATCTCTCTCTCTCTTGTATCTTTTCTCTCTCTTTCACTCTGTGGTTAACTCTTTTCCTATGGCACCTCCAAATTAGAACTTTATCGCCTCACCTCGGAACACATTTCTTCATGCAATTGCTCATTCTCCTCAACCATTGTTAAAAACCCAATTCACCGATAATTTGAATCACATAATGAACTAATTAACATCACAATTTTAAAACCCAATTCACAAATTATTATGGAGATTATTTATTATAAACATATGTATGCCTATCCAATTATAATATATTTGTCTTTCTTGTCTAATTGTTTATCAATTTCAAAGAATTAACAACAGTATAGATATATAATTCTCAAGAAAAAGCAAAATATATGTTTATTTTTTATATAATAATTTTGATTACATGGTACATATTATTTGGTAACTATTGGTAAGTGCGTTACTGGCTAAAAGAAAGAACTTTTCTTTTTATATGGCAACGGTTCGTGAGAAACTGCCTTTGGCAATTTCCACTTAATGTTGAAAATTCATAGAGTAACATATATCCTAAAACTAATCCCAAGATCATAGTCACTCATTGCAATCACATTTTGTATATAAATGAACTACAATGAATTTACACAGCATAAATGTGATGAAATAAATAGCCCCATGTCTAGGCCTCACATTCATTGGACCACACATAACTTAGTTGAGAATCAATTAGATAAAAAAATAAAAGTTATGCGAACTGATCGAGGTTGTGAATATTTATCTGATCAGTTCAGAAATTTTTGTGATGAAATGGGAATAAAACGTCAATTAAATATTCCAAGAACTCCGCAACAAAATGGTGTTACAGAACGAAGAAACAGAACCCTACTTGAGATGGTGAGGTCTATGATGGCACAAGCGAACTTGCCCATCACCTTTTGGGGTGATGCTTTATTGACTGCCATATATATCCTCAATCGAGTACCATCCAAATCTATTACTACTACACCATATGAGTTATGGACAAATCGGAAACCCGATCTGAGTCTCCTAAAATCATGGGGATGTGCTGCCTATGTTCTTGATCCTTCCCATAAATATAGAAAATTAGGTCCAAGGGAGAAGAAATGTACCTTCATAAGATACTCAGAACATTCAAAGGGATACGTCTTCATAGGAGAACAAGAAAGTGGTAGCATCACTGAGTTTGAATCAAGAGATATCACATTCTTAGAAACCGATTTTCCTAAGAAGGGCGAGATAGGTAAATACTTGTTTCTATATGAAACACAAGACCAAGGCAATTCTGTTGCCGACAATCAGTTGGTTATACTACATCCCAGTGGGAGCAATATGGAAGTTGATGAATTAGTTTCAGATCCTCCATCATTCCCTACTGGCGATCTAACTATGATAGCTGGCCCAAGTGGGAGTAACACCAATCAATCTCCAATACGTCAATCAAATAGGAAACAAGTTCCATGTCGACGATTTGAGATTAAGGGGGAAATTTTTCTAGTTACTCCACAAGATGACGAAAAGCCAAGGAATGTAAATGAGGCTCTCAATTGCCCTTTTAAGGAAAAGTAGATGAAAGTAATGGAAGAAGAATTGGAGTCTATGAGATCAAACCAAGTATGGGAATTGGTTGATTTACCAAAAGGACGCAAAGCCATTGGGAACAAGTGGGTTCTCAAAATCAAGCGTAAAGCTGATGGCAGTATTGAAAGATACAAAGCTTGCCTAGTCGCGAAGGGGTATACGCAACAAGAGTGAATAGATTATGAAGAAACTTTTTCGTCTGTTGTGCAGTTTACCTCAATCCGACTTATTCTAGTTATAGTTGCTAGCATAGATCTTGAATTGCATCAAATGGATGTAAATACAACTTTTCTCAATGGAGAATTACAAGAAGAAATCTATATGGATCAACCAATAGGTTTTATTAGAGAAGGTCAAGAACACAAAGTGTGTAGACTTTTAAAATCAATTTATGGCCTCAAGCAATCCTCAAGACAGTGGTATATTCGATTTCATAATGCGATAATGTCATATGATTTCAAAATGATAGATGAAGATCACTGTGTATATACAAAGAGATCCAATAACAAATTTGTTATATTATCATTATATGTTGATGATCTACTTATAGCTAGAAATGATAAGGGATTTATCAATAAAATCAAAGGATGGTTATCATCTCATTTTGAGATGAAAGATATGGGTGAAGTTGCATATATTCTTGTAGTCAAGATTTCAAGAGATCGCTCAAGAAAATTAGTATCTCTTTCCCAAGAACCATACATTAAGAAAATTCTTGAACGATTTCATATGCAAGATTGTAAACCCATAGACAACCTTATCGCTAAAGGCGAGACTTTGAGTCGTAAAATGTGCCCGAAGACTCCACAAGAAAAGGATGAAGAATGTTCCTTATACAAGTGTTGTTGGAAGTCTCATGTACGCCATAATGTGCACTAGAACCGACATCTGTTATGCCATTGGGTTGGTAAGTAGATACCAGTCCGACCCAGGACAAGCACATTGGAAAGTAGTGAAGAGAATCTTAAGATATCTAAAGGGACAGCTGATTACTCATTATGTTATCAAGGAAATGATTTACACTTGAGAGGCTACACCGATGCTGATTGGGGAGGAGATTTAGATGAAAGGAAATCTACTTCCGGATATGTTTTCTTACTAAATGGTGTGGCCATATCTTGGAGCAGTAAGAAACAATCATGTATAGCGTTATCTACAATGGAGGTTGAGTTTGTAGCATTTTCAGCTGCAGTGCAAGAAGCCGTTTGGTTGAGACGGTTCATGAATCATCTAGGAATAATTAATGTTGCTATTGAACCAGTAAGAATAAACTGTGATAGTCAAGCAACAATAGCATACACTAAGGATCCCAAATATCATGGTAAAACGAAACACATAGATATCAAATATAATTTTGTGCGAGACTTGGTGGCACAAAAGGAGGTGAACATGAAGTACATATCTACGCATGACATGGTTGCGGATCCATTCACAAAGTCTACACCAAGAGATACTTTCAATAGACATGTTAGATCTCTAGGCTTACGTAGGTGTTGAATGTACTCATACTTTGAGATTTCTTAAAATTGTTCACATTTGTCTTATCAATATTAAATAACAATATTGTCAATGCTCAATATAGGTTATTATGGAACATACATAAAGAAATATATATATATATATATATATATATATTTTTTTTTTTGAAAAGCATGTCAGACAGTTAAAAGATTAACCTTCTCACACAGGCAATCGCCTCCATTACTTCGTAGGAATAGAGATGAGACGATTTTAAGCTTATTATCTAGGTGATAATAGAGAGCCAAGCTTAAAATGTTTAACGTCGCCTAAAAATAGAATTAAAATAATGTCATAATGAAATGTGACATAATTGATAAATAATCACTTTATCTGTTTAATTGTCAAATTAAAGTTTTGATGAATTAAAAGTATGTAAAGTAAACTCAAGTTAGACATTAGGTATGTCTGAACTAATATCTGTACAGCATT